GAAAAGAACAGCAACATCAAAGCTGTGACATGTTGATGCTGCTTCTTCGAAGTATACGTTCTTTATCCACACCAGTGAGGCAACAATCCAGCCATGAGCTGCCACCAGCATCCCCTGCCAGGGCACGAGGCAGCAGGGCAGGGCATGTCCATTTGTTATCCAGAGCAGGAGGAATCATCCCTGTGAGCTGCTGAGAGCTCCTGTCAGAGATGAGTGGTTGCTTACAGCTCTGGGCCAGCTCAGGCCAGGCAGGTCAGACACTGGGTATTACCAGAGAGCCCAGACAGATCCATCAGGCTGACTGAGCACATGGTTAACCAGAGTGAGTGTTGCTGTGACCCCTCTGCCAGCTCAGCCTCCCTCTGGGGCTCAGCTCTGGCACGTGGCTGAGCGCAGGAGCTGTCCCAGCTGTGCCAGCCCCAGCCCCTGCCCTGGCACAGGCACATCTGTGGCTGAGGGCAGGAGCTGTCCCAGCTGTGCCAGCTCCAGCCCCTGCCCTGGCACAGGCACATCCTACCTGGCTCTGCACTGCAAACCTGGGTGCAAATCCAGCCTGACATCCACAGAGCAGAGCCCATCCCACCTTGGTGCCATGGAGAGCAAAGCCTAGGGATAAACTCTCTGACCTCTCTCCATAGCATCTCTCCTGCAGCTCCTCTGCTTTGTGCCCAGCTGTCCCCAGTCACCTTCAGCCCAAGCTGAAGTCTATTGCTGCTCCCAGGGGCTCAGCACCGGCACAGCACCATCCACAGCAGAATCATTTCCACCATCAGAGGGCATTGTTGGATTAAGTTTATCCCAGGATGGCTCACTGAGGTGGTTGGGACTTGGGAAGATACCCCAGGGTGGAGGTGACAGCCCAGGATGGCAGGAGAGCTAGTCTTCCCCTGGGATGTTCACACCTATCCTTGGACACTGATGGGCATGTCTTGACGCCCATGATGCCCTTGGCACCTTGGCAAGTGGCTTTGGCCAGTGGGACAAGGGCTGGAGACAGGCTGTTAGCTGGGGGTTTGCTAACACAGAGGAGAAGCAGCATCTCCAAGACTCTCAAGCTGCATGCTGTGCCCGTTCCAGACTCTTAATCCAGTCCTACAGGGCACAGGATGTGTTTGCAACCCACAGGGGACTGTGGTAGGCAACAGACTGTGTTTGTAACCCCACAGGGCACCACGGTAGGTAACAGACTGTGTTTGTAACCCCACAGGGCACCGAGGTGACTAACAGCATCCACTTTTAGTGAGGTCTCTCCAGGAAAGGTCTGGAGAGCACAGAGTGGAAAAATCCACTGGGTGGTTGTGTTTTTTTCCCTGTAGCAACTATTCACGTGCCTTTTGATTTTCAGCATCCCAAGCAGCAGGTTTCTGGGCACCTTAGCAAGGAGCAGGCAAAGGAGTCAGTTCCATGAAAGCAGCAAAAATGAGATGCATGTGGTAGTCAGAGCTGTGCTTGGCACACAGCAGCACCAATCCAAGGGCAAGTACTGCTGTGCCAAGGGACCACAGGGTGGGGGGGGTCCTCTCTGTGCTCACTTGGGCTTGCAGCATCCTCAGGCACCACTGATAAAGGATTTTTGCCTCTTCAGGAGGCTGGGAGGGTGTTTAGAGCCTCTCCATCACCATGAGGCCCAAGGGAAGGGTTTGCTCCTATCCTTGCCATTGCTCTTCTGCTCCCCTCGTGTTTAGCCCAGTGTGGGCTGAGCCAGGAGCCTGGATATGACATATATATGATATATGCCACTGCAAAATGTGGCAGGCTGAGCCCTTCATCTCTTCTCTTCTCTGCTGCCCTCCTCTCCCCTCCAGGCTGAGCAGAGCTGGCTGCAGCAGTGGGCAAAGGGGACACCCAGCAGCTCCACTGCCCATGACACACTGACACACACCAGTTCTCTTGGTACCCAGCTAACAAGCCACCCATAAATCTCACCCATCCACAGTCCTTCTCCTCTCTGTACCCCTCTCCAAACCCCTGGGGGAACTTGCTGCAGTCCCTTTGCCCCTTGGTGACGTCCCATGTGAGGGGCATGACCCTGCTGGGGCAGGGGAAGGGTCAGAGGACATGAGTTTCCAATGGGAACCTGGGGAACAAGGGATGCTGATAAGGAAAGAAGCCCAATTAACTCAAATTAACTCTTCCCACCACTGCTTCACCCTTGGACTAGATGCTGCTGCAGAGCAGGGATGGCACTGCCAGCACCTAGAGGGACCACAGGGCTGGCTGTGGGTGATGGTCCATCTCCATCCAGCTCTCCTCAAATGGGACCAACAATACACCCTGAGCACAGCTGGACCTCAGGAGTGGGAAAGTGCCCGTCAGCAGCATCAGCACTGACACAGTGGCCTGTAACCACCTCCCACTTGCCCTCAGATGGACACAGGGGCCTCTCTGTCCCCCTGGCCTCCATCCAGCTCTCCTCAAATGGGACCAACAATACACCCTGAGCACAGCTGGACCTCAGGAGTGGGAAAGTGCCCGTCAGCAGCATCAGCACTGACACAGTGGCCTGTAACCACCTCCCACTTGCCCTCAGATGGACACAGGTGCCTCTCTGTCCCCCTGGCCCATGGAGGTGGCTGCAGTAACCACAAGGTTTGGGTCAAAAGGGTTTGGCTGCACAGGGAGGGTTGGAGGGAGTGATGTAGGAGAGATGAGACAAACAGGCTGGGTGAGATTTGCTACTGCTTTGCACAGAAGACAGCAGGAGGAAAGAGAAAGTATGACTCAAAGCCAAAGTAAAAGGAGAGAGAAGACACATGGAGAGGACACAGCTCCTTGGGTGTAGCTTGCAGGGGTGGTGGGTGCTGCTGGGGTCCATGGGGAGCCATTAGGGCACTTCTGCAGAGGGTATGACCTACATGACCTACTCTGAGGTTGTGCTTAAGGGTTTCATTTCCCCTGCACCTGCCCTTCTGGTAGTGTTGAGAGCTGGAGACTGATCCTCTGCTCCGTAGGGTTCACCACCCCTCGGGTGCTGCCATTGCCAAGGGATTGCATGGGATCCTCTGTCTCCCCAAGCTGAGCTCAGCTCACCTCTCCCTGGTGATGGAGGGGCAAGGAAGGGCTTGAAAGCTCCAGCAGAAATCCCATTATTCTGAGCTCTCCTGGTTCTCAGCAGCTTCACTCCCACCAGGACACCCCTTTTTTCCAGTGCCCTCACAGACCTGTGGATGGGGACCAGAGCATGAGATGCCTCCAGCATCACCCACCACTGCACTGAAAGGGGCCAGAAGCCTCCATCAATGGCAGAGAACCTCCTGGGTGCTTTGGATCATTGGACTTTATTTGCATGAAGACAAACTGCACATTTGTCTGTACAATTTCTCCTTAAATACTTGGCAACCCTTTAAAAAAAAAAAAAAGGAGAAAACGAAAACAAAGAGGGGAAAACAAACCAGAAGGGAACAGTGCAGGCTACAATATCAAAACAGTACAATGCTTGTGAATAAATAACCCCCCAGGGTCGGGGCCAGGCTCAGCCCTCAGGTCCTCACCACCCTTCCCCTCACAGCAGAAACAGCATCCAGATGTGGCCAGGGCTGGGCACGGCCCACCCAGCTCTACTGTCTCCCAGTTCCTAGTTGGCAGGCTCAGCCATGGTGGTGCTGGTGGAGTTCTTGTTGGTTTTGCAGCAGAAGTACTGGTTCCAGATCTGCAGGAAGGCCGTGCGGAACTTCTTGATCCTGAAGGCATAGACGATGGGGTTCATGGCCGAGTTGCCATGGGTGAGGAAGATGGCAATGTAGGTGAGGATGTGAGGGGTCTCACAGGATGGGCAGAACAAGGTGATGCAGTTGAGGATGTGCAGGGGCAGCCAGCTGAGAGCAAAGAGGAAGAGAACCAGTGCTAAGGACTTAGCGATCTTCAGCTCCTTCCCATAGTACTTCTGGGGGTCATTGGAGCTCGAGGAGACCTTCTTGTTGAGTTGCTTACGGATGAGGTTGAAGACTTCCAGGTAGATGAGCAGCATCAGCAGCAGAGGAGGCAGGACCCAGACAAAGAAGTTGAAGTACACCATGTACTCCATGCTGATGACTGTCTCAAACTGGCACTTGATGACAAAGTCTGTGTGGCTGGAGTTCGGCTCCTGAGTCCTCATCTTGTTCAGGTTGTTCCAGCCAAACATTGGGGTGAGGCCCACCAGAAAGGAGATGATCCAACAGCAAGCGATGGCCACTGCTGCCCGCCGGGGTGTCACCACGCTCTTGTACCTGTGGGACAGACAACAGCCACAGGAAGGACTTAAACACCACTGGGATGCTCTGCTGGGGGTTAAGGTGGCACTAGGTGGGGTGGCAGTGCCCATGCTCAGATGGGAGGATGCTCCTCACCGCCTTGGCAATCCCTAGCAGCTTGTTCCTTCACTGGGAACCATCATTACCCCAGGGCTGGGCAGAGACCTCAGATATGATCCTGGAGCTCTGGGGGGTGATCCCAAGCTAGGAAGTGCATTAGCAACCTGGAGTGTTCCTGCATGGTCAACCTCATATCTAGGAGGGGATCAAATCAGCAGCTCAAATCATGTCCCAGCACCTACCTCACATCCCAACACCTACACCCAGAGCTCTTACACCTGTAGAAGATACAACAGCCACAGGAAAGAGTTACACACAAGCAGGATGCTCTGTCTGGGGGTTAAGTCAGCCCCAGGTGTGGTGGCAGTGTCCATGCTGAGATGGGATGATGCTCTTCACTCCCTTGGCGATTGGTAACAGCTTGTCCTGATAATTAACAGACTGGTTTCTCTGCATGTGCCCTGGGAACCTCTTTCTGTCTCCCATCACCACCCCAGGGGTGGGCAGGGACCTCAGACATGATCCTGGAGGTCTGGGGGGTGATACATGTTCAACCTTTATATCTAGAAGGAGGTCATGTCACTGGCAGCTCACATGACATCCCAGCACCCTACTTTCCATCCCAGCACCTTCCATCCCAGCACCTCCACCCAGACCTGAGGCTGCCCTTCCCTTCCCCCATGCAGCAGCCCTGCCAGCTCCCTGTCCCAGACAATTCCCCCTGTGCCTGGAGAGGAAAGAGCCAGCAGAACCATCCCCTGGGCCCTAGCAAGCTGGAGGAAGGATCTGCGGGTGCTAATGGACCTCTGGGGAAACTTCTGGGCTCAGTCTGGTTCATCTCCTAATGCACTTGGGCAACCCACAAAACCTTCTTTCCTAATGGGCTGCTGCCAAGGGTTGGAAGAGGAGGAGAGCTGGGCTCTGCTCCCTCCCTCATGCCCCTGGGGAGCACACCAGGGCTGGGCTCGTCTCTCCAGAACTCTCCAAGCGGGAAGTGGAGTCTGTGGGATTGATTTTTCCCCCTGGCCCTCACAAAAGCTTCTCCTTGGAGGTCAAGAAGATTCTCAGCCTATGAGTTATTGCTTTGCACTGGAGGGGATTGAACACAGAAGGTTTCTCTGCCCCATTTGCTGAGTCTCTCAGTGCTGTGGGGCACACCTGGAGCTCCATCCTGCTGGCCAGAGCTCCCTGCTGTGGGTCTGCAGCCTCATCTTGTGGTGGGAAATGAAGCATTTGGGGCTTTTAATACAGCCCAGGACCCAAAGCCACTCTCCTTTGTTAAGACCCATCTCATGGGCAAGGTGAGAGCATGGAGGGATGCAGGGTGAGGAGGGGCCATGGGTCCCCACAAGGCCAGAGGGTCCAGAGCCACTGGTCTCAGCTTTCCCAAATGAACCTCCTCTGCTCTGGGAAAAGATTCCCAACATCCTGGTGGCAGCCAGGTCCCATGGGAAAGAGGTGAGGACGTGGGCAGCTGTTTCCTCTGAGAGCTAAGCCTGGATTGGGAGGGTGATTTATTCCTTGTGGGGAGGAGAGAGGGCAGGAGACCCTGAGAAAGGGGCAGGAGACCCTGAGAAAGGCTCTGGGCAGGGAGAGCTGGGGCACAGGGAGGGCGAGGGGTTCTGGGAGAGAACCAGCACTGGGGTCAGCTGAAGGGAAAGGAGGGAGGGCATGGGAGAGCAGGGTGGCAGAGGGATCCCAGAGGCTCCTGGGGGGCTGTGTGCTGGCCTGAGCACCCCAACAGCAGGTCCTTGGGGAGGGCTGATGTGCTGTGTGACATCCCTCTCCCACCTCCCCAGGCTTGAGCAGCTCAGGTTGGCCACACTAGATATAACAACACCATCCCCTGCCCCAGCTCCTTCCCTCTGCAATCCCTGCAAGCTGTGCCACTTCTCCTCACCCCTGGGGGCTTCTAGGGGCTTCTACTGCTTTGGCTGGACATGGGTGGGTACTCCCTGCCCTGCAGAGCTATGGGAGAGCCATCTCCCCAGAGACAAATCTGCTGAGCAGCAGCAGTGGGACCACAGACCCCAAACAACCTCCCAGGGCTTGCAGGCAGCACCCAGTCTGGGCTGCCCCCAGAGCACCCACCGTGTTCCCCTGCCCTCATGCCTGGCTGGGGGAGCAAACAGCACTCAGGGAGCACTGAGACTCTGTTGTTAGGCAGGAGCCAGGCTGGGATCAGAGGACACAGTGTTCACTCCTGCAGCCAAAGCAGAGGGGATGGAGAATGACTGCAGGAGGTCTAGTCTGGATGGTCCTGGCCCCCTGCAGCTCCAGAACAGTGTGTGTTGTGCAGATGTTATCAGGACAGCTGAGGAGGGTGTGCAGACCTCAGGGCCCTGAGAGCACACAGACTTGTGTGGGCCAGAGGGGATAACACACACACAGCACAGAGCTGCTCCTCCTCCCACCTCCTCACTGCACAGCTGTCCTGGCTGCACAGCTGTCCTCGCTGCACATCCAGCCCTTCCCAATGCATATCCATCCCTTGTTTATGTTCATCCATCCCTTCTCTTCACTGCACATTCAGTGTTTTCCTGTGAGGGTGAGGAGACACTGGCACAGGTTGCCCAAGGAGGTTGTAAATGCCCCAAGGATATTGTGGATGCCCCAAGGGGGTTGTGGATGCCCCAAGGAGGTTGTGGATGCCCCAGGGAAGTTGTAAATACCCAAGGATATTGTGGATGCCCCAAGGGGGTTGTGGATGCCCCAGGGAGGCTGTGGTTGCCCCAGGGAGGCTCTGGCCCCAGGGAGGGTTGCCCCAGGGAGGCTCTGGATGCTCTAACCCTGATGGTGTTTTATTCCAGGTTGGCTGAAGTCCTGAGCAAACTGCTCTGGTGGGAGGTGTCCCTGCCCATGGCAGGGTTTTGGCACTGGATGATCTTTAAGGTCCATTCCAACCCCATAACATATTATGAAACTATGAAACTATCTCTTTGCTTCCCATGGATGCTCCCAACTCACTGCACATCCAACCCCCCTCCTTCTCACACATTCATCTCTCTGCCCTGGTCCATGTCCACCCCTCCTTGCTACATGTCCATCTCTGCCACCTCCCTGCTCATGCCTGGCCTGACACAGACCCTCTGAGCAGTAGGACCTGTCTCTCCCTGCTCCTCACTTCACTTAGCACCACGAGGTTTGAGCATGGCCCTGCAACAGCAGCTGAGAGCAAAACCTGTGCATCCTCCAGCACCTGAGCACCACAGTCATAACAACCATGGCTGAACCCAAAAAATCCACAGAAAGCAGCAACATCTGGAGCTGGAGGTTTGTTCCCATTGCTCCTCCAAGCAACAAGCCAAGGACAGAGGCAGCTGCAGGGACATGTGCTCCCTGAGGTCTTGCAGGTGCCCATTGTCCACAGCAACCCTACACAGAGAATGATGAAAGCCAAGTTCCTCCTCTGCCCACCCCACCAGGTCCACCCATCCCAGTGGCTGTGACCATGTTGCTCTCATGGGGCTCTGAAGGCCCCAAGCCCTACTGAAATTATTTTTACCCTTTACTTTCCCTGGAGGTGTTTAAGAAGTGACTGGATGTGGCACTTAGTGCCATGGCTTACTTGACATGGAAAAGAGCTCTGAGATCATCAACTCCAACCTAGGACCTAACACTCCCATGGCAGCCAGACCATGGCACTAAGTGCCACATCCAGTCTGTCCTTAAAGACCTCAGAGGTCTTTCCCAACCTACAGAATCATACAATCATCAAGGTTGGAAGAGACCTCTGAGATCACCAAGTACAACCATTAACCTGTCACTGTAACCCCTAAACCCCTAAACCATATCCTCCAGTACCAGGTCCAGACACCTCCAGGGATGGTGACTCCACCACCTCCCTGGGCAAACCTATTCCAGTGTCTGAACATCCTAATAGGGGTAAAATTTATCCCAACATCTCCTCTGCCTCTGCTCTGTCTCAGCTCAAGGCCATTCCCTCTAGTCCTCTCCCTGCAGCCATGGCAGGAGAGACATCCCCCACCTCTCTCCAACCCTGTCAGAAAGTTGGAGAGAGCCATGAGGTCACCCCTGAGCCTCTTCTCAAGGCTGAACAGACCAAATCCCTCACCCTTCCTCCCCAAACATGTTTTCTAGACAATCCTGAGATTCTGCAGAGGATGAAAATGCAAGATCCAATCTAATCCTCCATCCCTTGGTGGGGACAGACAGCAGAGGGTCAGGGACAGACTTTGCTGTTCCAATGTTTCTTCCTTGGTTTTTCTTCCCATTAAGAAAAACCCTGAATGACCTCATTTAGCATCAACATGACAGAGCTGGAGTTTGGGGTAGGACTGGGAGGGAGAAGTTCTAGAAAATACTGATAATGGCTCACAATTAATAAATAATCTCATTATTAGCATCAGCATCTGAACAATTTGTAGCATCATTGCAATTTTATTACTACTATCATCTTGATTAACAGCTGTGACCAAACCACCCGTGACAATAGTCACCACCATCAGCAACCACTTTGGGTTTGTTTCCTTTGTCTGTGGCTTTGCTCCTGACCATAATTGCAAGATTTGCTCCTGACTGGTGGTTTTTGCACCATCTCTTCCTCCACAGAGATGGGCATTGCCCCAAGTTCTCCTGGATGTCCTAACAAGGCCAGGAGAAAGGAAACACAGCAACTATCCAACCTCATTGCTGTCCTGGTGGGATGGGATGGGATGGGATGGGAAGGGATGGGATGGGAAGGGATGGGCAGGAGGTTTGGTTTGATGTGGAACAAAAATGGCTTTGAGGGTTTGGAAAGTAAAGCAAAGAGACAAAGTGGCAATTATTAACAGTGCTGGCTGCTCCCCAGAGGAAGAGCAAGAGGTGATGGGTGGAGATGGAGACAGACGAGTTGTCCCCAGGGGCTTTGCAGAGCTAATGGTGAGGGGTGGAAAAGCCTCTCCAGGGAGGGATA